AGATACTGATGATCCTTCGATCCCCAAGTCGAGCTGATTTGCGAACAGTCCTTCGAGATCTACCTATATCGGGATTGACAGATGAGACGCTATGGGATTTTAGTCAGAGACGACAAAAAATAAAGGCCAAATGTTGCTGATTAGTCAGGTTTCGCAGCAAGTACGATTTAATTGGTCGAAAATTTTATACGATGGTACGCTATTAAGCACTTCTAATTAAATTTATATCTCTGGCTCAAATATAACCCAAAGTGTTAAATCATGTTTCCATCATTTTCATCTTTGAGTGATCGCTCGCGGAAGCAACAAAAATTAATTGATAGATTATCCCTCGACAGTCAATTAGAAAAGACGAAAGAAAAAGCGTATGGTCAAGCTTTTATCAACCCTGACACTTTCAGTTTAGATCCTTTCAAACCACATACATCGGTCGGGACGCAAACCGAGAGCTCGACTTCAACCACCACATCAAGTTCCGATCCACGTGCAACTCCTCCGAGTCGTGAGAGTGATGAGTATGCTCTTATGGCAGCTGAAGACGTCCGATCTCAATTTCTTCGCTACGAGACAAAACTAGAGCAAATGTATGATCAAGCAGTTCTCGCTATCAATCAAACCATGATGGCATATGAACATCTTAGCAATCAACACATGTTGTCACAGCGGGAGAATGACATGCTTCGCAAAGACTTTAGAGATGGTCGTCAGTTGTATCGAAGACTTCAACGAGAGAAGGAACGTATTGAGAGTAGTAATGATGATTCGACTCGAAAGCTGAATGGATTGAAAGAAGATTATTGGAGAGTTTTACGCTACACTACAGCAAGCCTACAAAACACTAGCATGAGAGCAAGCAAGATCGTTCTGACTTGGAACAGCTGATTGCTGATCTGAGAGCGGTAGGTGCGGAAGAGACTGCTAAGGTTGTAGCTGCTCATAATCGGATCCGTGATCTCGAAATCGATACTAATAACTTGGTCCAATTGATTCAAAATATGCAAGCAAGTCATAACGAGCTCAATCAAAATCTCTACCGAGCAGAAGCAGCGTATAACCAGCTACTGGAAGATAATTTGCTAACGAAGTCGGAGAATGCAAGTT